GTTGTGTCTATGTACACAAAAATTACTGTGCAAGGAGCTATTCAAGTTCTGATACAAACTCTGTAATAATATCCATATATAACATATGGAATAAGGATGAGAGTTGCTTCCATTATTAGACTTATTAATCTATGCATTAGTATCACATATCTTACCTTTGATCGTAATTTATATGAACAAACGCAAGGATTAGCGATGGGATCCTGCCTGGTTCTCATCTTATTAAACAATTATATGGCAAAATTGGAGAAACGTTTTCTTCAAGAGGCACTACTAACACCAAAATTGTTGGCTAGATACATGGATGACTGTTTCGTCATCTGGCCTCATGGTAAGGACAATTCAGATAGTTTCCTATTTTCACTCAACCAGCGTTAAGGGAACATTAGGTTCACGATGGAAATGGAAGAGAATAAGTGTTTATCTTTTCTGGACGTTCTCAGCATTAGAGAAGAGGGTAGGTTAGTAAGAAATGTTAATAGGAAGCCAACATGTTTGCTCTTGGCTTAATTTTCCTTCCAATCATAGTTACAAAACTAAGGTTGGTATTTTAAAGTCAATGATTTTCAGAAGTGTGAGGCTAGCGGATAGCAAACATTTGACTAAATAGTTGCAACGGCTGACAAATATATTCCTAGAAAATAATTATCTCTTAGGTCATATTGATGAATAATATCTCTATACTAAAGAATAAATTTTCAGACGGAGACCAATTAGTCAAGGAGATAGAGACTGATACCTTTTCCCATGTCCTAATTTTGCCTTCACGCTTTATGTCAAAAAAGATAGGCGAATTAGTAAGTTAGTGGGGCATATAAACAGTATTCAAAGAAACCTTCACACTTTCTTCTGTAATGCCATCTTTTAGAGAGAAATATGACCCATTATCAAGATCCGGCTGCTACAAGATTGTTTGCTCATGTGGTCGATGTTATATTAGTGAGACATGCCGACCTATTTGACAAGGATAGGTAGAACACAAAAATTCTTGGAAACATAGCCAGATCCAACGGTCAGAATTGGCCGAACACATGGTAGAAACTGAACATGCAATAAAATGGTCTCAAACTATTAGGCTTGTTGATTACGGTAATTCTGTTTTTAAAGAAAAGCTAAGAGAGACTATTGAAATTAATAGCTTAGGAAATACGTTGAATGTGAGAAACATTGGTAGAAAGTTGAGTAGGAACATTTAAAGGTATGAAGACCAAGATGGTGTGGCCTTTTGTGTGGTCGCAGTTTCCTTTCGTTGTATAGAGGTTGTTTGATCTTGTTTTCGCAACTCGGTCATATTTGTAGGAAGACTTAGAGGAACGCACCTAGTCCGGAGTCCATAGTATGCATCATCATTTCCAGAGTAGGACCGTGGACGTGGTACATTCCCAGACGTTTCGCCCGTATCGTCACTGTGTCTCACCATTCGTAGCACCACATTACAACTCGTCAAAAAGAACAAACTCGTGCTAAACAGATGTGGTATCTTCCCTTCCCCCTTGGGCTATTCACATTTCTTATATCGTCCTATCATGGCTTCCCTGGTACAATTTTTTACCGAGCTTATTTTTAATGTAGTGTGATGTCCTTCTTCGAGCGGCATTAATGAAAACCCTTCACACTTCACACTGTCGTTATTACCCCCTTCACCCTAGTGCTGGGAATGTTGACCAGAGTCTGTCATTGTTACGTAGTCCTTCCCTGGGTCCTATCAAAGTCTCCATACTGCCCCGTAGAATCCGTCTGCTATCTCCCTGGTCCATGTATTTCATTCAACCCCTGCCCCCCTTCCATCCGTGCTACTCAAGGCGTAATTCGTCCATCTTTTGCTTCTGGGTGATTGATTAGAGGCTAAGGCCTCAGTGTAAATCTCCGAGTTACGCATTTACTACATGTATCACGTTTCTTGTCAAACCTTCTATCAGCCAACTAGCTCCAATCGCCGCCTCGTATATCCTGTATATCCCTAATACCAAGTCTATGACTTGCCATGCCCTAGGCGCTTGTGTGCCAGCCCATAAATGTTGTGGTACTGCTGGCTTTGATTACCTTAAATGTTGAAACAACGTTTGTTGGTTGGCACACAAGAGACTAGGGGATAGCAAGTCATAGACCGAATTATAGATAGAAAGAGGATATGAACAATGGAAGCTAGACATAGTTGGCTAACAATAGTCGTGATTCAAGGAGCATGTTTATCATCAAGCACGTCTATTGTTAGCCAAATAGCTTTAGTCTTTCCTGTTTCTATCTGTAATACCATGTCCATCGCTTCCTACTTCCTTGTCTCTTGTGTGCCAACCCAAAAATATCATGGTTGTACTTGTTTTGATCAGGCTCATTGAAGACGTCTTCTCTTTGTTTCTGATTGTTGCTTTCTTATCCCCCTACGATCTCTTTTCCTAAAACTAAGGATATTACCTTGATCCAGTCGTCTCCTTTTTGCTGATCTTACTGTTGCCTGGTATTATCCGAGTTTGTTTAGGCAATATGCAAAGTTTTCGCTGATCCTGCCTTCTTTAAGTCTCCTGTTCATTAGATCTCGCTAGGTCAGTATTTCGATAGCCTCTCGGATCTTGCGTTTTCTTGTATCTTCACCACATGCAGCCAACCTTTCGGTCGATTTCCAGTCGATTTCGTGCCACGTTCGTGCAATGTGTTCCGTTATTTCGGATCTTTTCGTATCCATGTTTCTGCAGAGTATTGATATTCCTCGATTCGTAGGCTGATTTTTTTTCCTGTTTCTCCTATATACTTCTGCTAACAGTTGCCACATTTGATGCGATGAACGTATGAGCATTCAAGTTTGTCAGTCTTCCTATGTTGCGTCGGCAGACTGGTGAAAAGTATTTTCTTCTCCTTTGTATATATCGTAATTTTGAAAATCCCTGTGTTTATTTTCAAAAATGTTACCCTCCACCTCTAAAATATTCCCTGGGCATCATGGGTTAAATTATTTTACCCATGGGGACAAATGATAGGCAGAATGGAACAACAAAGAAATATATGGACCTTATCATTACACTTTTTAGAATCCGGAAGTCCGATAATTAAGGTGGCTCAGGTCTTTCTATTCTTGAAAACTTATTCGACAAAATATTTTCGTACAAAATGTGGGACATACTACTGAATTTACTTGACAGAATGGCTTTAAGATCGATAAAGACTTTTGAATCAAATGCTTTTTCGTATTTAAGCAAATTTTCGAGACTACCAGTAAGTCATTAATATGATTTGTATTCACCCTATTTCGTTTAAGCTGATAAAGGACTGGTAGTTGAATTTTTCCACAATGATATAAGTAGAGCTAATTTTTCCACTGAAATTCACAGAGCCTTGCTTTCCCAAAAGTTGTTCTCATCCAGGGTCGACTGCAGTTTCGACCTCGCCACGGTTTTATCAACCCCCCTTCAGCGGGAGTCGAATCGTGACAGTGCATAATGTGACATTGACACGAAATCAGCTATTTTAATCCGTAAATGGCTAGCAAATACTTATGGCCAGGATGCCCCAGAATCTGGGACCTACTGTGTAAAAACGCGATTGCTGCTTATGAAATATCTTTATTGTTAAATTAGTATTCTGCATAAATAGGTTTATTTGAATTAATTGTAAAAGCTGAACAATCTTTGCTATATATCGTAGTTTCGAAAATCCCTGTGCTTATTTTTAAAAATGTTACCCTTCACCTCTAAAATATTCCCTAAGCATCATGGGTTGAATTAGTTTACCCGTGGGGACAACTGATAGACACAATGAAACAACAAAGAAATTTATGGACCTTATCATTACACTTTTGAAAATCCGAAAGTCCGATAATTAGGGTGGCTCACGTCTTTCTAATCTTGAAAAGTAATTCGACGAAATATTTTCGTACAAAATATGGGACATACTACTGAATTTACTTGACAGAGTTTAGGCATACGTGGCTTAAAGATCGATAAAGACTTTTGAGTCAAATGCTATTTGTCTAGCAAATTCATTGCACTTATTTTCTCATTACCTGCTGCTACACACTACCTATACGATTTTTTTACTTTCGCTATGCGGGTACCTATGTAGTGATGAGTTACAAACTAGCCGATAGACAAATCCAATACGACTAACGATCTTTGCTATTCCAAATTTGATAAAAGGAGATTTAATGTCAGCTGTAAACATACGAGATGATCAAGAGTTCTTTAGACCGCCTCCAGGATATGGGCCAAGGAAAACTTTAGGTGAGATGAAGCAGATTCCAAGGCAAAAGAAGAAGGCACACAGGAAAGTTAGGCGAGGGATTCGTGATGAAAGGTGCAAAATAGACAGAAGAGGAATGACAAGTGCAGCAAAATCACCAGATATTACACGAATATTTGAGATGCTACCAGAAGATTACGAACTAACCAGCTCTCCGCATGCTTTCGACCTAGAGGAATCTGATCTAGTCGAGTCTTTGAGCAGTAAGCAACAAAGTTTCTTAGGCAAAGCATCATGTAGTCCTTCACCTGTGCATTTTCAAGGTGAACACATCAAGACATACAGTAAGAATATGAAACAAACGACTGAGTTTGAAGCTAGTCCCCCAGGAGTAAACCTAAAAGGCGAGTCTAAGCTTAGATCAGAGGAAAATAGACAATCAAATCTCAGAAACCCACTAGGGGACCTAGACTTGCCGCATATGTATATACCTGGGGACCAAAATCAGTCAACATTTCCTAATAATAAACAAGAAGGTTTGGTGTATATACCCAAACAAAAAAATGCAAATCAACGATGTGTAGAGGACTATGATGTAGGATTGTTACAAAATAATATAATATCGGCCAGAATGAAGATGTCGAGAAAAAGGGAGGTTGTAATGGACATGTTTATGCTAAAACTGCTGAAATCGCTGAAAGATTTCATGATGAGGCATGGCGATGATGAAAAATCAGGAGAAAATCAGGGAAGATTGAAGCTCACTAGAATTATACAGATACTCATGCTTCAACGTCGTAATCTTCAGACGCAAAATGATGATTTAGGTCAGGGAATACGTGAATTAATGAGCAAGAACATAGAACTAAGAAACAACTCGGACAATGTAATCTTGGAGAACGCGGATCTTCGCAAGCGTTTAGACCAATTACAAAGCGAAGATGAACGAAAGGATATGAGGATTAAAGGTTTAAAGTCAAATGAGGAAAATCTAGTTCAACAAATTGCAGACCATTCTTCTCTTAACATTGAGTTCAAAGATATGGAGTTTGAGTTGAAGAAGTTAGTCTATGAGAATGAGAATCTAAAGGATGTTACGAGTCAATTGGACATCATACTTAAAAGTAAAATAGAGGAAAATGCAAGACATGAAAGCGAAATCAGCAAACTTACACAAGAATTGAATATAACTCGCTCAGAAATAACTCACCTTAATTTGCGTTATGATCGCTTACTATCCGAAAATCACTCCCTATGTCAGAGCACAGCCAGCGCTCAGAACGGATTAACAAAAAATAGCCCAATGGTGATAGAACTGGATCGACTCAAAATCCAGCTTTCTGCCTTAACGGAAAAGTATTTGAGGCTGAAAAATCTCTACCTTCTTGAATCAGACACAAGAAAGCTTCTTCACAACCAGCTGCAGGAGGTGAGGGGTAATATAAGAGTGCTTTGTCGTGTGCGTCCCCCGACGGCAAGTGGTATAAACGTATTCGAGTACCATTCCACAGATAAGCTAATAATACCAGGAAGCCAAATGCCAAGCTATATAGCATATCAGAGACAGCTCACGCCAGAGCAACCATCAGCCCTCTTACCGAAAGACGAGTGCTTCATATTTAATAGAATTTTTAGAGAAAACTCAACTCAACTAGACATATTTAATGAAGTCCGGCCACTAATTGCATCTGCTGTGGACGGACATAATGTCTGTTTTATGGCCTATGGACCAACAGGTACAGGCAAAACTTTCTCGATGCAAGGGACTTCGGCTGAGCCAGGGATAAGTCCCAGGGCCATTGAGGAGATGTTCGAATTATGTAATCTCCTTCGTGGGGTATGTGATTGTGAGATAAAGTTGTCGATGCTAGAGATTCACAACGAGGTTATCTACGACCTTCTGGCCGAGTGTATTCGCCCAATCCGGCTGTGCGATGATGGAGTCGATGTCTATCTATTAGAGGTAGAGGAGAAACTGACCAGTTGTGAAGCCGAGGCATTGCATTGGATTGCACGTGGTCAACGCAAACGCAAAATGTCTTCAACCAAATTGAACTCCGAATCGTCACGTTCACACCTTGTGGTGCGTCTGAGCATTTCTATTAAATGCAAACTTACAGATGAAGAGAGGCATTCCTCACTTCTCTTCTGTGACTTGGCTGGTTCCGAAAGCGCCGAACGTATTGAAGCCGTTGGAGGAATGCAAGTGGAGACTGGATATATAAATCGGTCTCTGGCAACTCTAGGCCGCATATTCGAAGCCCTCCGCCAGCGATCTAACAACATGACTTGCGGATCAAAAAGCATGTCTGCAGTTATTAACACCCACTCAGGTAACACTGCGACCTCGAATCTTACTCCTACTAACTTACTTGCCTCAACCACGGCAATGAGGCAGCTGACTCCACCATACCGAGAATCTAAATTAACGCATTTACTGAAGCCTTGTCTAGGTGGCCAGGCTAAGTGTGTTCTTATTATCACAGCATCTGGGGATCCTACTAATTTAGACCGTAGCGTTAAGGCTCTCGAATTTGGCCAGAAAGCAATGCGAATTGCCTTGGGTCGGCCCCCTACAAATCGTCGAATTCTGGCGAGCCGTGGTGTGGCCAATAAACATCACGAGGCAGGTTGAGCAAATGGCAAACTGATCTGAGCGATCAAAATATTTAAGTAGCCGAGTCTCGGAGCCGCTTTTATTTTTATC